CTGTATAGAAGTGAAATTTGAAAGTATATGGTTTCTACTTTGTTGCATCTTCTGGAACTCTTGTGTATAGAGATCATTCCAACAGTTTTTTTTCTTTTTTAAGAGAGAGTAGGTGCATGTGCTTGAGCTGGGACAGGGGTCACAGAGGGAGAGGGAAAGAGAGAGACTTTTAAGCAAGCTCCATACCCAGCACAAAGTCTAATTCAGGGCTGATCTCAACAACTCTGAGATCATGACCTGAGCCAAAATTCAGAGTCCGGCTGCTTAACCAACTGAGCCACCCAGACACCTCTCCAACAGTTCTTCACACAGAGGGTGTTTGTAATGACGGATTATACATTTTCTCCAACATCATTCTAGTATAATTCTTGGGTTTCTTTAAATTCTTCAACAAATACCCTCAAGCTTTGTTGATGTATCCACATTGTTTTCTTAATTGGCTTACAATATTTTGGGCCTTGACCACCATTTTATATAGTATTTTAAATCTATTGGGGGTTGTTGAGGAAAAGAAATCACCCTCATATTTTTCTTGGTCATTTCTGGAACAAAGAATTAAGCCTGGGTCTCACTATAAATCACTATCTAATAAAAAAAAGCCAATGTATTAATTTATTATATCATGTTACATGCTAAAGCTATATTTGATAGCTATAACAATGGTAAAATAATTCTTGAACTCTAAATGAAAAGGTTTTGGGCATTGTGTGAAATAAAATTTTACAAACTATATCTTGCTTTTATCCGTGATGGCTTAAGACTGTAGTTATAAAGATCATCTGTCAGACTCTTGACCCTCTAATCAAAGGTGACAAGTTAGACTACAGTGTTTCTGGTTCAAACTAAAATAGACTTTACTACTATTTAAGAATGAAACAAACTGAGTGTTGCTTTAGGGGAGGGAGGTGAGAGGGATGGAATGGCTGGGTGAGGGACATTGGGAAGGGTATGGGCTGTGCTGAGCACTGTGAATTGTATAAGACTGATGATTCACAGACCTGTACCCCTGAAACAAATAATACATTATATGTTTAAAAAAAAAAAAAAAGAATGAATGGTGGCTGCTTGTAAAGTGTTTATCTGATTTTGGAAATAATTAGAATGAGAAAAAAACATAATGAAATGTCATTGTTTTTAGTATACCCCATCCTAATAAAAATATTAATCATGGCAGTTTGTACCATAATTTACAATAAAAGATGCAAGTAATTCAGAAAGTAAGGTAGATTTTCAGGATTTGGTAAATTTCCACTATAGAGGGCAGTGTGTATATCTTAGAAGTTACTGTTCTACAAGAATTTCCCATCTAACAGTAGAAATAAGCTAAGAGTTTTATGAACCTAGGACTATAAAACTAGCAAAATGAAAAATACAGAAAAGGTAAAACAGAGGTCACACTAACATCGACGGGGTAGAGAAAGAAGAAGAAGCCTGAGAACAAATGTTCAGACTGGTGTTCTGAAGTCAGTAGAAAGTGTACCAAAAAAGAAAAGAGTCTGTTGCTACAAAGATATTGGATAAGAGGATTGAGAAAAATCCATTGGATTTGTCAAGATATCATTTAAGACCTTGGCGAGAGTAATTTTGATATAGTTTAAGAAGACTTGGTTAGGTTGTGGTTTTAAGAGCGAAGAAGTGGTTAGAAGTAGGCGATGCAGAATTAATGACAAAGTCAACTTTGCTTAACTCTGAAAATGTTGCATTTTCTTTCATAAGACAAGCTAGTCTTGTCATATGCTGTCATATAGGAAAGAAATTCTTCTAAGAAAAATTTTATTTTGATTATTAATACCTCTTAGTAGTAGAACCTCCCATGAAAATTATCATTCTTGACTTACTGCTTCCCCTTCACCCCTGCCACCGGCCAGAAGCTGAGAGATTGTCCATTAGAACAATTTCAGTGTCTTAATGGTAAGAATTCACTGCTGAGATGTACTGTCATAGTTTGAGGGAGTCCAGAAATAATACCCTCTGTTCCTAATTCCCTCTGTTCTAAAGCTAAAATGCACAGATTTTAAATGGTCAGTTTTATGAACTTTGGAAAATGTATTATATATTCATGTAATCAGCATTCTAATAAAGATATGAAACATTCTAGCATTTTATTTTATAAACTGATTAATGTTTCTTTCAGTACTAACCTGTTCATTCATTTAAAATGCTTAAAATCATAATAGATTTGTAGTAATTCTGTTTGACAGCTTTGGTTGTCTCTGGATGTAGAATTTAATGAACTTCCCTGAGAAGATCTCACATCATTAATAGGCATGTAATTATTCCCATGGAGAGGCTGAATGCTTTTTTACTGACATAAAAAATCTTTTAAAAGTGGGATGATCTATGTAGTTTTTAGTTACATATTTTATATTCTTAAATGCTTAAATTGTCTTCAGTGATTTTTTTTTTTTTGTATCTTAAAATGTAAGACACTCTGTTTATATTTTAAATTATATGGAGTATGTAGTAGGTGCTTAACAGGTCACAATTAATTTGCCTTTGCTATTGGCCCACTTTGGCTCTTAAATGTGTGATACAAAGGATGGTAACTAGACAGCTTTGTGCAAAGAACGAACTCAGTCCTTATATTTACTGGGCACTGTGCAATGGCTATAATTAAGTTGATGTCCCATAAAATATAGTGGGGGAGCGTATATTAACAGTTAAACAAAAAAATATAATTAAAACTTGTGAATAGTGCTGTGAAGGATGGATACGGTGATTGAAAATGATCCTGAGAGGTTAAGGCAGAGGAGACTTAGATAAAATGGACAACGATGGTCTCTGGACTCGTATAAGCCATACTGAGACTCCCATCAGAAGGGGATGTCAAGTAAGGAGCTTTGGGGATGAGATGAAGGGAAGGAAAGAATTTAAAAAGACTCAGATGCCAACATCAGTAGTATTAAATGAGTCTTAACTGCCTTTTATTTCTTGTTGACTGATAGTTTTGATGGATTGCTGTAATTTGACTAACATAAGTCTTACTTTTTTCCTCAGTGTTGGGATAATTACATTTATTAATTTTAATAATATGAATTTAGATACTGTACGTTATTCATACTTTATTTCAGGAAAATTAACTTAATATGAACTTAGTAAGTTTGAACAAGAAGATCTTAAATATGATGCCCTACATCATCTTTTTAGCTTACAGAAGAGATACATACAAATATACTTTTTCTTTAGAATAAAAATCAGTTTCTCAAAACTGCTTAGCCCCTCTTAAGAAAGTAAATATTAAACTTGGATATGAAAGATAATCTGGGGTTTTTAATAAATTATAGGTTTAGGTTTACTGGAACAGTCAGGTTGTACGAGGTGTCCCTAGAGCATGTTATTATTATATTATGTAAAATTTTAAGTCTACTTTTTCTTGGATTGGCATGGAAAGTAATTATCTTTCATTTTACAATAGGGGATTTCATCATATTTGTAGAATTGTTTTGACCTGGAAATGTACAGAAGTCTATTACAATGTATACCTTACTTTGAAGTAAGAAAATACCTGAAATTCTAACTGCAGCAGCAATGCTAGAGGTTCTTGGTATCCCATTAGGGTGTCTGTGAGGTCAATACTGCCTGCATTTGCCCTAATTATGGTACAAAAGCAATTATGGGTGAAAAACTGAGGATGCTTTAAAATGTGTGAATCAGAGCAGTAGTAGTACTGAATCGTATTAGTAACATTCACTGTAACATGAAGAAGAAAAAAAATATCAGCTTAAGAATGCCCATTATGAAGCAGGGGAAAAAAAATTAAAAAAGAAAAACCCTTAATATCTGTATACACATTTTAAAAATATTCTTTGCATGAAATGGGAGGTAGACATAAAACACTTGTGGCATTGCAAAGTCTCATGTTTTGAAGAGAAACAACCAACCTTTAAAAAACTACCACTTGTCCAGTTTTGGTGTGGTGTCAAAGAATATTCACAATTATCTGAAAAGGCTATTAAAATACCCTGCTGTTTTTCAACTATGTGTGTAAAACATGTGAGGCTGTTTTTAAGCAGCCTCACATGTTTTAAGGCTGCTTAAGGCTGAATTTTCTTCATCTGCTTAACCCAAACAACAAATTATAGAAGATTTGAGTACAGAAGCAGATGTGAAAACCCAGTTACTTTCTGTAAAGGCAGACATTATGGAGACTTGTAAAAAGGTAGAACAATACTATTTTTACTGAGTTTTTTGTTTCTAAAATATATATATTTTTAAATATTACTGTTAAATAATTTTATAATTTATAATTTTATAACTTAGGGTTAAATGAATTACTAAAATGAATCTTAAAAAGTCTCAGTTTTAATTTTTAGTATTTAAATGTCAATAGAAATAATTGATGTAAATAAAATTTACATTGGATAAATGTGGGGATCTGAATTTTTAATGTAAAGAATTTTGACAATGTATGTGTGGGGGAATCCACATACAATTAGGATTAGAGCATGGCCTTATAATCCAAAATGTACATGTTTTAGTTTATAGCAGTATTTTGATTTGAAGTGTTTTTCAGATGGCAGTGTTAGAGTAGGTTTTATAGTTATCAGTTTTCTGGTATTTTAAGTCATATTATTTTGAAACTTTTCTAAACCTTCATTTTTATTTTATGTCTTTGAAATACAGCAGAGGAGGCCAAAAATGAAACAAAATATTATTTGCAAAGCAATGTAATCTTTTGGGGACATTTAGTTTTTTTTTTCAATTAATCATGGCTGGTTTCCTGAACAGGCTAAATATGGTATAAGAATCCTGAAGAAGATGTTCTGTGACAATCTGTAATATTCCTGAATATCCCTGGTATCTCACATATACAGAATGAATATTTAATATCTGAATTAAATGTGGATACATTTTATTTAAAAAATTTGTAATGGTACAATCCATGGCCATTTTGTAAAGTTTGTGGAGGTTATTCACAGTAATGCCTGTTAGTGGTAACGGTCATGAAACATGAGGATTATATGTTAGTGAGAGTTCTGATTTCTCTTTTTTTCTATAAGCAGATAATCTCAGTGATACCTTGAAGAAGTTGAAGATAACAGCTGTTGACAGAACTGAGGATAGTTTAGAAGGATGCTTGGATTGTCTGCTTCAAGCGCTGGCTCAGAATAGTAAGTTTCATTATGTTTTAAATGCCAAACAAAAAAATTAAATCAGTAGTCATTCAGAAATTGGTATGTAGTTTAGCACATAACTTGCATTCACATAACTTGAATTCTTTTGAATCCCCAGATACTGAAGTTGTTTTACATGCTCCACCCTCCCACCCCACCTCCCCACCCCCAAGGTAATAAAAGCCAAGTTGACAGGCAGAAGAAAGGAGGAATTGACTGGTGGTAATGACATTAATACCAGCCCCAGAGAGAGGCTATTCTTTCATTCCTAACAGATAAGCACCATAGTTGTTTTCCTTCTAAACACCTACATTTGTTTGAAAGAGATGAGTGTGTGTGTATGTGGGGAGACTGGGGAGGAAAAACAAAGGGGAACTTAAAATAACTAAAATCTTTTTCTGAGAGCTTATGGTCACCTTTTTAATAGTTCTACTTTAAAGTAATGTTTATGAAAAGTAAATAAAGTAATGCTTATGCTCAGATTTAATTGGAAAGAACCATAAGCAGTCATTCAAAAATCCCTTAAAATTGAGCTAGGACTTGATATGTGGTAAATAATACTCATGATAAAAATTATACAACTCTTCATTGGCTAACACATTGTATTGTTGCATTTGATCCATCATGTTTCCATTCATTAATATTTCTATTATCACAGAATAGATGGGGGTAACAATGATATTTGTTTCCTTGGTTCTGCTTTGTTGTGCTATGGTTTGTGCTGTACTTGTTTTTAATCATACCATTATCTTATTCTGGGAATAGCTATGTAGCTGACAGAGAATTTAGGAGATAGTATATATTGTTAGAGTTTTAATTTCAAGCACTCAGATGTGTGTGTTATTTCTTTTTTATTTTTCATTTCTCAGTGAACTGTGCTTAGAAAATCTAAAATAATTGAATGTGGTACTCTTCATCAAAAAGTACATTTTAAAACTAGCTTGGAAAAGTCTTTTTCAGTAATTCTCTTTGCTTTTGAGATTGTAACTCTGTCAAGCTGTTCAATCTTAGATATGACAGAGAAAGTGTTTGAAACAAGGATTTAAATAAGAGCATCCGGTAAAGAGAAAGAAAAGGAGAGTGTCTAAGGCTGTGCTGTCCATTGTAGTAGATAAATGTGGCTATTTAAATTTAATCATTTAATTTAACTTAAAAGTACGTACCTTAGTCTTATTTTCAGTAGCCACACTTGGCTAGTAACTACCTTTTTGGGGATCACAGATATTAAGCCATGATCACAGGAAGTTCTTTTGAAATCTTTTGATTTCCATGATCACAGAAAATTCTTATGTGTAGCATGGTCTAGAAGACTAGAAAGAATTAAGTGATGACCTGAGTTTTATATGCCCGTATAGGCAGATTTACGTAATGTAATTGGTCTAAGTAAATTGAATATCTCAAGTTTATCTTTTTTGAAGAGTTGTTTTGTTATACTCTTCTTTTGTTTTTAGTGGCCTGTTATTTTTTTCTGCGTTAGAAAAAATAATTTTCTTAATGGACCATTTGTTCAGAAACTGAAGGATATGGAGGCAGTGTTATTGGTTATATGTAGAGGGTTGCTCAGCCCTCTCTGGAAAGAATGATAGAGAACTAAAGTTGAAGAAGAAAAATGAAAAAAGGAAGCCAAAGTTTATAACTTTTTAAAGAATAGATTTAAGAAATAGTGAGAAGTATATAATTGTTGGGTTAAATTTCAGATCTATTGCAGACTTACTCATTGAAACTATTTATTGAAAATAGCCTTGAAATTGTATATTATAAAGTGTTAAGGCCAATAGCCACAAGATGTCAATAAAAACAACAAACTCTACGAATTTAACTATTGACTCCCCAAGAAGGGAGCAAAAGGAATATGTCTTTTCAAGAATCTAACAAAATTTGGGGTGCCTGGGTGGCTCAGTGGGTTAAGCCTCTGCCTTCAGCTCAGGTTATGGTCCCAGGGTCCTGGGATCAAGCCCTGCATTGGGCTCTCTGCTCAGCAGGGAGCCTGCTTTCCCGCCCTCTTCTACCTGCCTCTCTGCCTACTTGTGATCTCTCCCTCTCTTTCTGTCAAATAAATAAATAAAATCTTTAAAAAAGAAAAAAAAAGAATCTAAAAAAAATTCATGTGTCCTCATATCTAAGACTATTGACAGAAAAGAATTTGACACGGGAAGAGGGAGTTCATGCAGATGTCTAGTGTTTAAGTGAAGAATGATTATCTGTCATTGACTGAATGCTTATTATGTACTCAGCATTGGACTTGGGGCTTTATCTGTTATCTAAATAAAACTTTCCTTTAGTCCCATGAAGAGGTATTCTCATCTCCATGTAAAGGAAAAGGAAACAGACACTGACGTTACTTGCTTTACTCTGATAGAGTCTAGAGTTTGGAATTGAACTCTTAGTCTACAAAATAAAAAAATTACATTCTGAGTGAAGTGTAGCTTTTTGCTGAGTTTATAGACTGTGAAAGTGTTTCCAAAAGATAGTTTTAATATTGTGTCTTAAATTTTTGTTTCTTTTTAAATATTTTCAAATTATGTTATTAAAGATGAGAATGATATGTAAACTTTTTTTCTTGAATTACAGACTTATCTTATAGACGTTTTATTGACATTTTTAAAAAACTAGTGTTTATTTTCCTTGAAGTGATTGATCCATTGCTACTTTTATCCTCTTAAAGGTAAAATTATAAAACATTTAAGTGAATCTGTACTGGCTTTTTTTGCAGAGACCTTCTATTGTCATAATTCTTTCTTAGTGTCAGGTGTTTTAGCTAAAAATATCACTGCTTGTACAGAATTGCACCTGATCAAGAAACAATGATTTCTCCATTCTGTACAAGTATAAGATGGTAATATGTGTAATAGAAATCTAAATTTAAAATTTTATTTTATAGTCTACTAACCTGTCATTGGAAGGGCCAAATCTGAATGGAAAGAAATTATGCTTTTTAAAATTTTTACACCGTGGAAATTTAGTATATTTGAATTGCACATCAAAAATTATCATAATCTGAAATTGAAATATGACTTCAGAGTGGTCTTCTTTCTTAAATTTTTTTTGGGTAACATTAAATATATATGTCAGAATCTTAAGAGATAGGAGACAGTTTTAATAGTGGATTTTATGGAAAATATTTTGCTTTAACATTTTGTATAAATTTCTGTACTAAATAATAGAAGCATTCATTCATATAAATACTTTAGATCTCAGTTTTAAAATGTTTTTAGTAAATATTTGAAAGCTACTGTTGAAGAAATAAGATTCTGTTTACTCTTACTTCTTTTGATTCAGAGAATAGAGGATTCTCTATAAATGTTTATTGTAGTATGGTTCCTCTATTTCATGCTTATTTGAAAATTTAAAACAGTAGGCCATATTTTTATCCCTAAACATTAGGACAGGAATATCATTAGAGAATATGAGATCTAAATCCCCTTGTAATGCAAACTGCTAGCATAAATCAAATGCCCAAAGACAAGAAAAATTAACAGTCCATTCATAATAAAAAATTCTATTCCATTGTAAGAGCATGGGGACCATGTTCTATTGCTGAGTGAACCACAAAACAATGCCAGCATGATCACCAGCACAGCTTTAAATTCTTGTCCTAAAGGATTCAGGCTGTTTTCCTCTGTCTCATTGCCTCATGTACCTTTGTGCTCTAACTTTAATTTTTAGCTTAATGACAGTAGTTCCTATTTCATACAAGAGTCACAGAATTATTTTCTGTAGAACAACCCAGTTTACTCTAAAGAAAAAAGTATTTAGTTTCTAGTCCACATTCCTAACCTAATATCATACTCATCCACTTGTTGAATACTTGTTATTCCTTAGCCTTTTTTCTTTTTTTTATTCATTATTTTGATTTTTGGCTCCCTTCTGAAGCTATAATCCTAAACATACCAGATTATATATATAAGCCGCTAATGTAGATTACTTTGTGAATCTTCTCTAACAGAACTTGCTGTTGTCATTTGCTTTTAGTCTGTTCTATGCCTTCATTATTTCTGAATTAACTTACTTTTGGGACCCAAATTATTCCTTTTAAGTAAGGGACTTTGAAACTTGTTATCAACTGTTTTTCAATAGCATGTTAAATCTGAAATCACTGGACGAAAGATTACTGCTGTTTTAGTAGAAACAAGAAATTATTTTACTTCTTTCATGGTAATATCTTGGTTTTACTTTTTACCCTGAGTTATCAAATGCACCATAGAAGCGATATATTTCTTTTTATTTTAAATTTTTAAATTTTTTAATTAACATATAATGTATTATTAGCCCCAGGGGTACAGATCTGTGAATCGCCAGGTTTACACACTTAACAGCACTCACCATAGCACATACCTTCACCAATGTCCATAACCCCACCTCCCTCTCCCTACTCCCCTCCCAGCAAACCTCAGTTTGTTTTGTGAGATTAAGAGTCTCTTATGGTTTGTCTCTCTCCCAATCCCATCTTGCTTCATTTACTCTTCTCCTACCCCCTTAACCCCATGTTGCATCTCCTCTCCCTCATATCAGGGAGATCATATGATAGTTGTCTTTCTCCGATTGACTTATTTCGCTAAGCATGATACCCTCTAGTTCCATCCACGTCGTCGCAAATGGCGAGATTTCATTTCTTTTGATGGCTGCATAGTATTCCATTGTATATATATACCACATCTTCTTTATCCATTGATCTGTTGTTGGACATCAGGGTTCTTTCCATAGTTTGGCTGTTGTGGACATTGTTGCTATAAACATTCAGGTGCACGTTCCCCTTTGGATCACTACATTTGTATCTTTAGGGTAAATACCCAGTAGTACAATTGCTGGGTAGTAGGGTAGCTCTATTTTCAACATTTTGAGGAACCTCCATGCTGTTTTTCAGAGTGGTTGCACCAGCTTGCATTCCCACGAACAGTGTAGAAGTGTTCCCCTTTCGCTGCATCCTCTCCAGCATCTGTCATTTCCTGACTTATTAATTTTAGTCATTCTGACTGGTGTGAGCTGGTATCTCATTG